CTGAGCTCTTTATTCTTTCAGAAGACTTCTTAGGAAACCTGGCAAAAAGTTCTAGAACTAGAAGAGGGTGTTTTTAATTTTCCTATTGTTTATAAGGTCATTAATGATTTATTAGTAAATGTAGGTTATCTGTTTAATGGGTATTTATTGAATACCAAAAATATCTCTAGGTACTAAAATTTCCCTGGGGAAAACACAAATGAACAAGACCTCTTCCCTGTGAACATCATGGTCTAGTCAAAAGCCAGACTTTTCTTGAAGGACAGATCAAAAATAGTCATTTGGATAAATAAATATATGGTACTTTAGGTAATAACACATGGTACAGAGAAAACAAACAAGGTAATAGGTTTAATAGTGAGGGGATTCTTCCTAGATATTCCGATAATGGAAGGCCTTATTGAGCAGTTGATGACTTGAGTAAAACTGGATGAGCTTATGATTAAAAAGCTTGTCTTTAGAAAAATCCAACAATGGTAAAGTTAGTCATCTTTTCACAAGGCATTCATTTGATTTGGATCTTAAGTTTGTTGGTTTTTAAGGGTAAGGAATAGGTGAGTTCCCCAGGTGATCCTGCATGCCTCCTTTGAGATGTACTGCTCTCCTGGGTAGGAAGTGACACTGATGTTTCTCTCCATAGATCTTTGTTTGTATTTTTGCTAAACCCTTCTAGCCCGTAGTTAGCAAACTCATTAGTCAACAGAGCCAAATATCCACAGTATGATTGAAATTTCTTTTGAGAGCCAAATTTTTTAAACTTAAACTTCTTCAAATCCACTTCTTCAAAATAGACTCGCCCAGGCTGTGGTATTTTGTGGAAGAGCCACACTCAAAGGGCCAAAGAGCCGCATGTGGCTTGCAAGCCACAGTTGGCTGACCATGGTCCTAGCCTATTTCATAAGCACATGCTCTTTGAATAATGACAAAAGTTGTTTTGGGAAAGATAATAGCTAGTTTTATCCCCAAATTTTTCGCAATAGTTATAACAAATAACTAAATTATCCCCCTTTTGAAATATGTAAAGTGTGATTATATGGTTTATAATGATTTAACAAACATATAATTACTAGTATATGAATAAAGATAGTCAAATTATTTGCTTAAGATCTGAATAATTACAAGATGGCTTAAAATGTTGTATAAAGCAAAAATATGTCCAGAAAGATATGGTATGTCCATGATTCTGGTTTGAATCTGATTTTTCACATTTTCTAATTTTTATTTTATTTTTAGAAACAGTAAAAAGTCACCTCAGAGTCTAGTCAGTAAACTATATAATGAAAGTAGTATAACCTAATAGTGGATGTCCCTATCTAGCCTCATATTAAAACATAATCAAACTAATTTTCTTGTGTAGCTGACACTTCATTGATTAGTTAGAAAACATAAATTTGTCCGGAGGCACACTGAACTTTGGTGGCCAAAGTAGAATGCAAATTCCCAGCATCCATTTCCTATTTAGTTCCTGGTAATTTTTAAAAGATAATGAGCTCTGGCCCAGTAATTCAGTTGGTTAGAGCATTGTCCTAGTATGTCAAGATTGTGGGTTTGATTCCCATAAGGGCACATACAAGAATCATCAATGAATGCATAAATAAGTGAAGCAATAAATTGATGTTTTTCTCTCTCTTGCACTCCTCACTCTCACTTTCTCTCAAGCTCTCTCTCTCTCTCCCTTCCTCTGCCTGACTCTAAAAGCAATAAGTAAAAAAATATTTAAAGAGATAATAAAGTGAGTTATTGTTTAGTTTCTGGCAAGGATGTTGTTAATTAAATTTACTTCTCAAAATTTTAAGTTATTTCAGTTTATAAGTGTCCAAACCATTAGGTGATTTTTCCCCTCAGATCAACACATTGAGAATATACATTTTTTTAATATAAATACTGGACTGATCTTATTTTCTTCCAAATGTAGAACATAAATTTTAAGTCAGAAAAATATTTATAGCAGCAAAGAGAAATCAGTGAGAGTTGTTCAACATTAAAATAATGTCCTAGTACCTCACTTTAAATTTCTTGAACATTTCCCATTCAACTTGGTTTTACGTATAGTTAGACTCATTTCTTTGTAACCAAATAAAATTACAAATTAACCTGTTTTTAAAGAGATGTGTTAACCTTATAAAAGCTATGTAAATTTGCCAAAACCGGTTTGGCTCAATGGATAGAGCATAGGCTTGGGAACTGAAAGGTCCCGGGTTCGATTCCGGTCAAGGGCATGTACCTTGGTTACAGGCAGATCTCCAGTAGGGGGTGTGCAAGAGGCAGCTGATTGATGACTCTCTCATCGATGTTTCTAACTCTCTATCTCTCTCCCTTCCTCTCTGTACAAAATCAATAAAAAATATATATATATATTTTTTAAAATAGCTATGTAAAAGACTAGTTTGACAAAATGTTTTATGATCAGAGATCATCATTTGTGCATAAAAATGTACAAATGTATATCATAAATGTGTAAGAAAACAAAATATAGATATCCTTTTATAATTGACTAGAGGCCAATTGTACAAAATTTGTGCACTGAGGGTGAGTGTCCTGCACCCTCTCCAATCTGGACCCCTCAGGGACTGTTGACTCCCAACTGCTCACCTGCCTGCTTGATTACCCCTAACCGCTTCTGCCTGCCAGCCTGATTGATCCTTAACTGCTCCCCTGCCATCCAAGTCACCCCTAACTGTCCTCCCATGTCAACCTGGTAACCCCCACCTCCCCTCCCTACAGGCACAGTCACCCCCAACTGCCCTCCCATGTGGGCCTGGTTGACCTCAACTGTCCTCCCCTGTTGGTCTGGTTGCCTCTAACTGCCTTCCCCTGCTGGCCTGACCGCCCACAACTACCCTCCCCTGCTGGCTATCTTGTGGTGGCTATCTTTGACCACATGGGGGTAGCCATCTTGTGTGAGGATGTGAGGGTCAATTTGCATATTACCTCTTTATTATATAGGATGAGTTGTGACTATTTAATTGGCCTTCATTAAATTGGTAACTGGGATATGAGAGCAATCATTAGAAAACTTTAACAAATTGTATTAATTATAATGTTATCATTAAGATTTACTTACTTGAGGGGTATCACTAGCAGAAAACAGGTTAGTTTGTTCATACCTTTAAACACACATTATAAACAATTGACTAGTAATACATATGTTGCTATGCTCTCCCATTCTCTGAGTTCATCAGAGTTCTTTTCTTTTTCTTATTTTTTTCCTTAATTTTTTAACTTCAAAAATGAAAAGTAATAAAGGCCAGAATAGAAATATTATTATATTCAGAGAAATATTCCCTGGGGCGAGCTTAAAATGTAAGGATTGTTGGCTAATGTTAAAATGGCTGCTCCTGAAAGAAAGAACAGGCATAATTCCTATTGCACGTGGGGTTTTCAGAGCATTTCTAATGAATTCAGAGGATCACCCCATCCCAGAAAGAATACTTGCGCTACAGAGTGGTGTTCTCTATGTCGCTTTAGAAAACACTGAACTTCTTTTGGTTTGTTTCTGTTCTATCTGGCACCACCTTTCAGCATATCCTGTAGGTGTCAGAGAACTTCCTGAAAAGCAGGTTGTTTTGTTGTGATCGGACATACTTTTGTCTGGCTTCCAGGCGGTGTTTTAAACTCAGAACAAATGACAGAGCTAAGCACACTAGGTGAAAATTCCCCTTCCTTCGGCTCATGAGAGATTTTTTTTTTTTTACATGATATACAGTACTCAATTAGGACTATTATATAAAAGTCTAGTGAAATAGATTTTTGGCCAGAACATGGAATAGCTGGGAAGGATATCAAGAAAAGCAACTTTTATCAAAAGGCAAATGAGTGTTTGAAGCTGGTGTTAATTGGCAGCCAAGGTGTTTCATTATGAGGCTGAGTTTTTAACAGTTGTAACTTGCTGACTATGGAAACCCAGCCAGCAGAACACACTGCAGTGCAGGCATGTCTGTGTCTCCAATCCCTCCCGGCCCCTCTCCTAACGTGTCAATAATGGGAGTCCTGTTTTAAAGCTACAGGGTGCTGCCTAGAAAATGCTTGTGTTGGATGTTTATTCAACTTTTATTTTCGGACAAGATGGGTATCTCATAATCAAAGGGTTCAGGAGGAGATCACTTCCAAACTTCAGACGTTGTATTTTTCTATTTTGCAATCTTCTGTGTTTGGATGAAACCTTAAGAAGATCTGACTGGGAGAACCATTTTTTTCTTTGTAACCTAGAGCATAAAGCTAACCACAGGAAATATTCAAGTTATAACTACAGAGGCGATTCTTTTTGGATAAAGCCATGGGAAATGTGGTGCTTTATCTCGATGTGTGAATGTACCTACTGCTGCTTTTTTTAAGGAGAAACACCTGAGGGCCGTACGTAGCAAGTTCCCACTGTTGATTCCCCTGCCCAACAGTAAACAGTGTCAAGGTTTCTCTCCACACATAACACAGCCAAAGCCCCCGGGAGTGTGTAGACTTTGATATTTTCCCCATTCTGACATTTTACCAGCTGGCTAAGAAAGAAAGAAAAAAATTGATTTGCTCAGGGAAGCCTCAACCTGTAGGCAGCACATTCTTTTACTGGCCTATCTATAGGCATCCTTTTGATTTCTACTGTGTTCCGCATCTAGTTTTATGGTGATGTTATAGAGAGAGAAAAAATTATTTTCTGTGGGTGATGTGACACAGGTGTTGGTTTAAATCACTTGCCAACAGTTCACCAGCCAAATAATGTCAAGTCTTATTGAAGCCTTGATGTCGATTCTAAGAAACGAGCATGGCTGTGCTTGTCGTCCTTTCCAAACAAAAGCAGGCTTTCCCCTTGCCTCGCAAGGCCTCAGCTCGGGTTTTACAGAAGGAAATAATGAAGGCTTGTGCTGCGGCATGTCACAGGGGAGGCTGGGACAAGGCTGAACTCGTGCACCCTCTGATCCTTGCTTGCCCGGCGACATGTACGCCTGCCTCTCTGACAGCTCCCCGGTTCACCGGAGACCTCTGTCACTGTGTTCGCCCTCCTGTAGGCAATGGTGGAGACAGTTAACAACCTCCTCCAGCCGCAAGCCTTGAACGCGTGGAGGGACCTGACTACGAGCGATCAGCTCCGGGCAGCCACCATGTTGCTTGACACCGTGGAGGAGAGTGCTTTCGTGCTGGCGGATAACCTTTTGAAGACTGACATCGTCCGGGAGAACACAGACAATATCCGTAAGTGGCCTTTGTTGGACAGCAGGGCCAGAGACCCGTGGACAGCAGAAGAGGGAAAAGAATGTATCTCTGGTGGCCTAGGTATTAGGAAGAGTACTCTGTTCTTGTTCTGTCGTTAAAAGGATGTCACCTGTCATTGGCTTATAAAGGGCCCTCATAATCATGTATGTGATCCTCCTTTGAACATTCCGGTATTGGGTATATTAGCCTGGGATCCCTTACAGTGAGGTTCATTTAATTGTTTTTTGTTTTTAATTGCATATGTGTTTATATGTACATACATGCATGTTTCATACCATTTAAAATTTTATCTTCCTAAGACAGGGCTTACAGGCTACTTCAGTCACAATAGGAGTGTTTCTGAATTACATACTGTAAAGAAATCATTAAGTTAGGGGTTAAAACAATTTCTGATAACTGTGTTATTGGCTCATAGGAGTATAAATCTATTTTTATTGCGTATAAGGATGTACCTGACAGTTTTATTTCAGAAAAATTGATAAAGCTGTTTCAAACTTACTAGATTTAAATATAGATCAATATTGATATAATAGTGCAGATTTTAAAGGTATTTATATCTAATTCATAAAGATAATATTTTGAAAATAAACTTTAAGTGAATGACCACGTATAAGGATTTGAGCTGGAATTTTAATTCTTTTTTACTTTGTAACTGATACAACTGGATTCTTATTTACCTGATATTAATTGTTTATTTGCTTTGATTATAAAATCATATTTTTTAAACAAAAGATTGAACCACTACTGTAAAGCATGACAAATAGAACATTACTAATTCCAATGTTTTGATTTCAGGACTTTTTCAGTGACCTAGAAAATTACCTTTGCAGTCTTTCTCAGTAAGTGCTGATATCTCTTTGCCATTGACAGAGTTGGAAGTTGCAAGGCTGAGCACAGAAGGAAACTTGGAAGACTTAAAATTTCCAGAATCCATGGGTCATGGAAGCACCATCCAGCTTTCTGCAAATACTTTAAAACAAAATGGACGAAATGGTAGGTTAGAGTCTATTTGTTAAGCTTGACAGAATTAAACTTAACAATGCATTGCTTCTCAGCTTGGAATTTTAAATGTGCTGTTCAAAACCTGATCTACTCATCTGCTATCTGTCTCTTCTCATCCACTGAACTCATTCTCCTGCTCTTCCTCCACTTTCTGTCACCTGCCCCAACAATAGAGGAATCATATATGTTCTACAAAATTCTCAGATTTGGAAAGTGTTTTGTTACCGTATTTTTCGGCGTATAAGACGACCCCCTAATTTTACAGTTAAAACATAGGTTTAGGCCTATATTCGCTGTATAAGACTACCCCCGACTTCCGAGGCAATACCAGTTCTTTTTTTAATAGACCGCCTCTCTGACTCTGGCCAATCTGAGCAGGCTTTTTACTAGAACACAGTGTAGCTTCGGGTACAGAACATGTATAATTTGCATGCATAAAAAGCCTGCTTGGATTGGCTGAGTTAGAGAGGCGGTCTATTAAAAAAAGAACTGGTGTTGCCTCAGAAGTGGGGGGTAGTCTTATACAGCGAATATAGGCCTAAACCTGTTTTAACTAAAAATTAGGGGGTTGTCTTATACGTCGGAAAATATGGTATTTTTCAGTAGCAATAAAATGTTAGAAAGTTGAATATGAGGGAAATTAATGAACAAAGTCCAGATAATTTTTTTTTCTTGAAAGGAGTAACTGTTATTGACTTATCAGGCTGGTTTTCTAAAACTTGTAAGGAAAATTTTACTTATAATTTTAAAATTATATGGTTGTATTTTCCTTTTTCACTTATTTGGGGCGGGGGGGGGGGGGGGGTGTCTATGTTTTTCTTTCACAAAAACTTCCTGTGAGGAGGTGCTTTTGGGGAATAGAACTGGTATAAGAGATCAGTTTAGTGAACTGGGATAAGTTCACTGAATGATTTTAATTTGATTAAAATTAAATAACTAATCTCATAAAGAAAATATATCTTAGGCCTCCCTAATATTAATTTAAAAACTTATTTTGGCCAAGGAATTGAGAACCTTTAACCTGTTACTGATAGTAAGACAACTCAAATCGTAGTGACTAATTCAAAGCTAAGGTTTCAGATTGAAGGGTGGATAGTTTTTTGTTTTGTTTTTTAAATAGCCTATTAAATAATGTAAAAAAATTATATATGTTGCCAGCCAAACAAACATTTCTGTAAGTGTTGGAAATCTTATATATAAGACTGAAGTTATAAATCTTTATTATGTTGCTAATTTGACAATGTGAAATTTGAGGCAGCAATAAGATCTCATATAAAACAAAATCAGATTCCTGAATTAGCTTCCTAACTGGTTTCCCTCTTTTACCCTCGCTCCCAAACATAACTCCTGTTGACAGAGGTTCTTCCCGAAACGTAAATCTTGCCAGTTGTATTTAGAATGAAATCAAATGACTTAACCAACCCTATCACATGTTACCTGGACCACTTCCTTCCTGCCTCATGTGCCCCACTTCACACCTGTCTTTAGTTTGCACTCTGTAATTTAATCTAGTTTAATTCTTTATTTTTATTGAGATATAATTGACATATAACATTATATTAGTTTCAGGTGTACAACATACTGATTTGATATTTGTATATATTGCAAAACAAACAGTAAAATAAATCTTGTTAACATCTATCAACACACAGTTACACTTTGGTTTGTGTTGGTTTTTTCTTGAGAACTTTTAAAATTCATTCTTAGCGACTTCCAAAATAGGTAATACCGTATTATTAACCACAGTTACCATACTGTACCTTTTGCTTGCCTTTACCTACCCTCCTATTCTCTTCCCCACCACCCACCTCTGGGAACCACCCTTCAGTTTTATGAGTTGTTTTTATCCTAAGATTTTGCATATAAGTGAGGTCATACAGTATTCCTTCTCTGTTTGACTTATTTCACTTAGCATAATGCCCTCAAGATTCAGTCAAGTTGTCATAAATTACAATATTTCTTTTTCTTTTTTTAAAATATATTTTATTGATTTTTCACAGAGAGGAAGAGAGAGGGATAGAGAGTCAGAAACATCGATGAGAGAGAATCATCGATCAGCTGCCTCTTGCACACCCCCTTCCAGGGATGTGCCCGCAACCAAGGTACATGCCCTTGACCGGAATCGAACCTGGGACCTTTCAGTCTGCAGGCCGACGCTCTATCCACTGAGCCAAACCGGTATCAGCAATATTTCCTTTTCTTAATAACTTTAGTCAGGGCAATGCCTGTCTCTTGTTGGACTGTCTCTTGTTTCCTTAAGAAAGGAAATATGGGGGGAGGGAGAAGTTAAAAGATGGTTACTTTTATAGAGGACTGCCTTAGGAAAAATTAGAGATTATCATAGGGAAAAAATAAGGTGGAAGAGTGTATGGAAACAATGACCTTAATAGAACATGATTGAATTTTAAAACAGATAAAAAGTTTGAATCTTTGTATTTATTTTTATTGCAATTGAGATATAATTTATATATAATATAATTCATATAACCTTAAGTGTTTAGCCAGATGAATTGGATAGTTGTACTTAGCCTGTGAAATATAACATACAAATCTCTTCTATTACCCAGAAAATTCCCTGGTGCCTCTTTCCGTTCTGCTCAGCTCCTGCCTCACCTGATAAAACTATTTTCTTTTCATTACTATTTGTATAGACAAGTGTTGTCTGTTCTGAGATTTTATATAACCGAGTCAAACAGTGTGGACTCTTTCCTGTCTGTATTCTCTAACTCAGTATTTTTGGGATTCAATCATGATGCTCCATGTGTCGGTGGTTTATTCTTTATTGATGCATAGTATATTCCATTATGTTAATATACTATAATTTATTCTCCTTTTGATAGGCTTTTAGTTGTTTCCAGTTTGGTGCTATTATGAATAAAGATGCTATCAACATTCTTATGCATGTTTGCTTTGAGAATTTATGGTTTTGCTTATCTAGGAAGGGTGGATATGTACTTATTAAAAAACACTGCCAAACATTTTTCTAAATAGTTGAATGACTTTATACTTCTTCCAGTTGTGTACAGCATACAAGAATTCCAATTGTTCCCCATCCTTATGCACATTAGTGTGGACAGTCTTTTTCATTTTAGAGATACTAGTATGAATGAAATGGTATCTCGATGTGAGTGTAATTATTTCCCTCATTAATGATTTTGATGATTTTTCATGTCTGTTAGCCTATTATATATTATTTTTTTCTAAAGTTCTGTTTCTGTTTTGCCATTTTAGTGTGGCATTTATTCTTTTGCTGTTGATTAGCAGGCATGCTTTATGTATTCATGAGTCATACTTTTTTTTTTCTAGTCTGTAGCTTGTCTATTCATTTTCTTAATGCTATATTTTGATAGACATAAAATTTTAATTTTGACAGAAATAAATTTATCATTTTTTTCTTTATGATTAGTGTTTTTGGGGTCCTAACCAAGTCATGTTTGCCTTCCCCACGACTAAAAAGCTATTCTACATTTTGTTCTGAAAGCTTCATGTTCGACTTTTTATGTTTATGCCTGTGATCCATCTTGGATTGATGTTTGAATATGGAGTGAGATATGGATTGAGGTTCATTTCTTTTAACACTTATATGCAGTTCTTTCAACATATTTTTTATTTTCCTTTCCCAATAAATGACTTGGCACTTTGGTTAAAATGAATTCTTTTAAAAAAAATACATTTTATTGATTTTTTACAGAGAGGAAGGGAGAGGGATAGAGAGTTAGAAACATCAATGAGAGAGAAACATGGACCAGCTGCCTCCTACACACCCTCCACTGGGGATGTGCCCACAACCAAGGTATATGCCCTCCACCGGAATCGAACCTGGGACCATTCTGTCCACAGGCCAACGCTCTATCCATTGTGCCACACCAGTCAGGGCTAAAATGAATTCTTAAGATGTTGTGAGTATATATTATGCAGATTTGATTACAATCTAATTAGAACTATCTAATGTAAGTAGAACATACAGAAAGTAATCAGAGCTTCTCCCCAATTTATACTTCACATTTGCATTTATTTCAGGAGAGATCAGAGTGGCCTTTGTTTTATATAACAACTTGGGTCCTTATTTGTCCACGGAGAATGCCAGCATGAAGTTGGGAACAGAAGCTATGTCCACCAATCATTCTGTTATTGTCAATTCACCCGTCATTACAGCAGCAATAAACAAAGAATTCAGTAACAAGGTTTATTTGGCTGATCCTGTGGTATTTACTGTTAAACATATTAAGGTAAGAGAATGGCTTCTTAGGTTTAGTTGTCCAAATTATCTATATCAATTATAGCAAATAAAGAATACAAAATGTATTAATTTTTTAAATTTTTATTATTATTTTATATGTAGCAGTTCAAAGTCTATTATATGATAGTAGTAATTTTTTTCTGAAATAAGAAAGACTATTTCTTGAATGTGTAAATTGCTTTTGATAAAACATTCATAGATATATTTATAAATGCTTCTCCATAATTACAAAGAGCTAGCAATATATTCAGTTGAACTGGACATGGTTTCACATAGGCTACTGTAAGTAATTATATCTTTGTGTGTAGATATAATTTTGGTTTCACCTAGGCTACTGTAAGTAATTATATCTTTGTATGTAGATATAATTTTGTTATACTAAGATTGCATTATAAATTTAACAAAGATTTCTAAAAATCATCTGCCTTTTGCAAGTTCATTTGAACAGTTTATTGTTGTTATTTTTTTTACTCAGTAATATACTTTGAAATTAACTGATGTTATCCTGAAATACTGCTATTAGTATTCTTTAAATATGTATTTTTGGAAAAGTAAACTCACCCCTAGTCAGGGGGATAGATAACAACAAATGTCCTTAGAATTGCCGAGTTTCGCTTCACAGGGAAACACTGGCAGACTTCTCCACAAGAATTATAACAGAATATGAAGTTGTGTTGATGTAAAGAGAATGTCTACCTAATTTATGTGAGCATAAAGTAGTTATTGGTTTTATTGATTTTATTTTTACCCTGTAGCAGTCCGAGGAAAATTTCAACCCCAACTGTTCATTTTGGAGCTATTCCAAGCGCACAATGACAGGTTATTGGTCAACTCAAGGCTGCCGTCTCCTGACAACAAATAAGACTCATACTACATGCTCTTGTAACCACCTCACCAATTTTGCAGTTCTGATGGCACATGTGGAAGTTAAGGTAAGAGATATGCCATACAATAAAAATGCTTACAATCAGGACACTAACTGTAAAAAGTCTTAACTCTACGGATTAGTCTCACTGCTCACTTTAGAGTTTTTCCACTTCCATAGTGATTATATTCAGAAACTCTCTTGTGTTCAACCCATATCCTCCCAGATAATTCAAATAACTTCTCCTCCCCCCCCCCCTTTTTTAACATCAATGTAGTTCCTAAAATCAAAGTTTGCTTGTAAAATTTCCTTTCGTGTTCCCTGTTTTTATATTGTATGAATAAATGTCAGATCTCATGAATAGGGCAAGATAGGACCCCAGGATCAAAAGCCAGTGTGGTGAGATTAGGAACTGGGATCTGGTGTGTTGAAGACTAAGGAGCTATGTGTGGGTTTAAATTCTCTTATGACAGAATGACTCTTGGGATAGCAGCCATTGAGGACAATGCACAATGCATAGTAATGCAAAAAGCTTAGCAGATCTAACTCAATGTGATGGGTTTTGTCCCTTCAAGAAGACACCCTCCTAAAGAAACATCCATATGATTTTGTAGTTTCCAAAGTTGGGAAGATCACTGATTTGGCTGCACTGGTCTTTTCCCAGTACAGCTCTGGCTGTCCTGGTAGGTGTGGAGAGAATTTAGATTTTAGGTATACATAGGACATAAAAATACAAAGTGCTGATTAATGTGGTTATAGAGATTGATAGATAAGTTGCTAACTAAAAATTATATACTTGTGAATTCTCTTCTCATCTCCCTGGTGTCAATAAATATAGAAGAAGCATGGCTGTCTAGCACATTTTGAAAAGGGAAAGCTGTAGCAAAGGTTTATCTACCTGTTATCATTGATCCGAATAGTTTCATCCCAAATTTTCTTTGTCACTGTTGAATTTAAAGATGGTACAAGTATCCCAGAGGGAGACCAAATGCAAGCCCAGTTACACCTTAAGAATAAATTGCCTTAGCTGTGTCAGCACAGTTCAGATTTTGGTCTTTAAATGACTGCAAGCACATTTTCTCAGGGCATCACAAATTGATCTAGCTTAGCAATTTGGCAGCACTACCAAATGTTAGATTTAAACTTGGAATGTGTTAGTATGGCTCTGGGATTCTATTTCTCAGCTTAGGGAATAAATTGAAACTCAGAAAAAAATATGGATCACATTTGAAATAACAACAAAATATCATTTTGCTCAGTTTATAGCATGGCATCATCTACCCAATCATCTATTATACAAGAAGCCCAACTGTGACCATTGTGTCAACAGGAGATATAATAAATGGAAATCAATATTTTCCTTTAGCAGTCAGTCACACAGTATGTAAGTCCTGGATTTCTTGTATCACATACTCTAAGTCAGTCCCATTTTGATTTCACAACTTCATTGTGATGTTTGAAAAGCAGAATGCAAGCAGATCCTACGCAGAAGTCCAAAAAGTTACAATGTGACCAACCCTTCATTACAATAATGTCTAAACCAAACCACTCAGTTACTCATGCAGAGTGAGAAGCACAGTAGCCAAATGGGACAGTTATTTATGTTTGCAGTGGTTACCCTCTAACTCTGCAGATAGATCTGTAGCAGAATATTGGAGAATTTGGTTGACAATCTTGGAAAAAGAGCGAGAAGAGTTAGCTGAGGAATCTTGATAGTTATTGTTATTAAACTATGGTTCCCCAATCATGGGTCTTCACTCCAGGGCTCTGCCTGTGTCCTGATTTGTCTTTATCTATCATCTGTGTGATCTCTACTGTTCATTCAGTACTTTCTTCATCCTTTAAATGCCCGAGTAAAGGTATTGACAAGTTGCCTACTACACCGTAGGTTTTTAATACACACAAATTCCCCCTCCCGTCTCCCAGAGATATTTCTAGATTCCACATAACAGGGAAGCTTCTCGCCCTTAAAGAACTCATGCAGAGAAGTGAAGCTGCAGTCGTAACTGTGATAAATATTATAATTGAGGTCAACACTGTGATGTGGGGACACAGAAGAGGAGCATCTATCTAAGGCAGGCCTGCTCAGGGACAGCTCTTCAAAAAAGTACGCTGCTCCAAAGGATGAGTCGGATGCATTTAGTGAGGTAACTTAAGGACAATTTGCATTGACCACATTCTTGCCACATTTTCTTCCATTTGCCTTGGGTACATCATTCTCTCTTATTTCTTATGCTCTTTAGTAACATCTTTCTTAGCTTCCTTTGTTGTTCCTTTTCACCTCTATGACCTCTCCCAGTTGCTCTGGTCTGAGATGTAATTCTAGGTGTAGCTTAGTCATATGGCTCTAAGCATCATCTCATGATTCCCAGATGTCTCCCTCCATTTCTTAACTCCAGATTCATAGATTCAATTGCTGACTTGCTATGTCCACCCAGACTTCTGGTAAGTTTCATAATTCTAGAACTACATTTTCGGGATTATCTCATCTGATTCCTTTCCTTCTTAGTGATGTACTTCCAGGTGCATTGGCCCCAAACCAAATATTCTATTTTTTCTCCCACTCATACTCACACATAGTCCTAGGAGTGTATCCTGCCAGATCCAGCGTCTGACAAGTTCTCAGTATTTTCATCACTACCACCTAGATTTCAGCCACTATCACTTCCCTATTTTTTGGTTCAGCCCCTTAGTTGTCCTTTTTTTCTTCCTTGTTCCCTTAAGTTTATTCTCAGCATAATGGCCAGAAGGATACTCTTAAAATGTGAGTCAGACTGTGTCACTTCTCTGATTCATCCTCAAATGCAAACGAAGTAGTTCATACCTTTGATCCAATCTGAAGAACTTCTTAACCTCAATAAGGGCAGAATCCCAAACCCGGCTGCATTGTCATCTCTTGACTTCCTTTCCTACTATTCCTCCCTTTGCTCACGTGGCTTCAGCCACACCAGCCTCATCATCTTGCCATAAACATATCAGGATGTTGTAGTTAGAACTGAAAGTCTCCTTCCTCCTACCCCCCAAAGAGCCACAGGGGCCAACTTTCTTGTCTCCTTCAAGTCTTGGCTCCATTATCACTTTCTCAAAGACGCTTTCTTTTTTTTTTTCTTTTTTCTTTTTAAATATATTTTTTATTGACTTTTACAGAGAGGAAGAGAGAGGGACAGAGAGTTAGAAACATCGATGAGAGAGAATCATCGATCAGCTGCCTCTTGCACAAGCCCCACTGGGGATGTGCCCGCAACCGAGGCACATGCCCCTGACTGGAATCGAACCCGGGACTCTTCAGGCCGCAGGCTGACGCTCTATCCACTGAGCCAAACCGGTTTCGGCAAGATGCTTTCCCTTTCCATCCTTTATAAAATTTCATATTACAACCCCCACAAACCTAGCCCCAGGAATTCAGTGACTTTCTAGTTTATCAAGGCAGAAAATAGTTTAGACTGATTTTTCAATGTGGTACTGAGAGAGAGATTATAGCGAGGACAATGTAGGCAGATTAAAAAAAAAAAAAAAAAAAAGGAAAGGGATGCTTCTACTCCAAGGTGGCAACTCAGTTGGTTAATAACTTCTTAACTCTTTCTACTTTTGTTGTCTAAGGAAACATATAATTGTCTTTCTTTTAGACAGAAAAATAATCATTACAGATACTTAGGTAATGTGATTTTATATTAAACTGAAATAGTATTTATGATATTTAAAAACCTTTCCAAAGGGTCCCAGTCCCAGGTTCAAGTCCAGTCAAAGACATGTACGTTGGTTGCAGGCTCCTCCCCAGCCTGGGCCTTGGTCAAGGTGTGTGCAGGAGGCAACCAATGGATGTGTTTCTCTCACATCAATATTTCAGTCTTTCCTTCTTTCTTCCACTCTCTCTAAAAATCAATGGAAAAATATGCTTGAGTGAAGATTTAAAAAAAACAAGTAGCTTTCCATTATTGGGCACCATCTATAGGTTTGTTTGTCTGTTGTTCAGCAAATTGTTAAATATGCCTACCATGGCATCAGGAGGTCCCTTATGGGAATTACTAAGTTTGATAACTTGGTTAAATTTACATTCTATAGGCACACTGACATTTTTGTATTTAAGAAGTACTTGTGGAAACATATCTGCAAACTTTGTTTTAGTAATCTCAGTTAAAAAAAAGTACTGCTTCATCCTCCACCCTTTATTTGTTCCTTAGTAGTTGAGTACCATTTTGTAACAGGCAAAGCTCAAGTATATAATTAGTAATATTGATAAGTAATTAGCAAAATCAGTATCTTGTGAGAAATGTCTTATTATAGCAGAGGATGGGAATACATGGGAAATAGCTTTGAGGGTCAGGGAAGGTTCCCCAGATGAAGTGATAGAACTGCTTTAAGCAAATGAGAGTGACAGGGTTGAAGTACATGAAATAAGATTGGATTTTTATGCTTTTATCATATATTTTTCAGCAAATTTTACATTTTATTTAAAAAAAGAGGTAATCCAGTTTGTGGAGATTCTAAAAAAAAAAAAAGAAGATTAGGTGAAGACTTCAACCTTCAGAAGAGCCCTTCCAGTAATAATAAGAATGAATTTTTTTTTAAAAATCTTCACCTGACGATATGTTTTTTATTTTAGAAAGAGAGAACAGAAAGAAAGAGAGAAATTGATGTGAGGGAGAACTTATCCAGCCACAGAGTCAGGGCTGAATATAATTTTTTTAATGTCTACTTGCACTATTGCATTTAATTAACATCACAATAGATATCATCATCATGATTTATTTACCCCGTTTATAATCTGAATGGTAGGTAGTCAGAATAAGAATAACAAATCAGAACATTGAAAATCAGGATGGAGTCCTCTTTTTCTTAGGTAAATTATCTGAACTCCTCTTCCCATTAATTGTTGAGATGACAATATTAAATATTTTCTAACATTATCTTATGATTATTCTAGGAATTGAATAACAAAATTATATTAAGCCGAAATCGGTTTTGCTCAGTGTATAGAACGTAGGTCTGTGGACTGAAAGGTCCCAGGTTTGATTCTAGTCAAGGGCATGTACATTGGTTGCGGGCACATCCCCAGTAGGGGATGTG